CGTTTGGCCATACAAATTTTTTCAACTTTTTTTTTTGGAATCTGACCATAAATTTTTCAATTTTCACTTGAAGATGAATTTCGAAAATTTTCGAAAATTTTAAAAACTCCCAAAAGCTGTTTTTCAAAATTTTCACTTCATATCACTCACAAAAATTCAAAAACAACCCAAAATTGTATTCATGTCCAAACATAACTCTAATTTTCAAATATCATTTTCACTTGAAGAAAAAATTTACTTTTTTTCGGAATATAACAATTTTTATGTCCAAACGCCCACGAAATATTTGGAAAAATAATAGTAAGTTAAAGCATGCTCCATGTTGGGTTGTGATATTTGAAACTTAAGATTTGACAACGATATGCCTAAACAATTGCATATAGAGCAGAGAACATGTTAAAACTCGATCCATATATATGGGACAGGTCAGGTACTGGGTAAACGAGTAGATTGAGTTTTAAAATAGTTAAGGTTTTAATGTAAGTATTTTAATAACTTTCTTCTTAAATTAAGTTTTTCCAAGTCGCTAAATCTCACCGGAAAGTACATAATTCGGTAAAAAAAAAAAACATTTAAATGCATTGAGTAAAATTGAGTGATTTTTTAAAGATAAAAGAAAATTATATGATTTTGATGAGCAATTTTCCAAAGTTAAGTAACTATCTGAGCCATTTTTCAACTCTAAAACACATGAAGTTGGCAATTATCAAACCGAATACCAATACTCAATACTCCATATTTGCAGAAATAATAGTTTTTAATAAACGCTAGTATAATTATTTACGTGTAAACTTAAAGATATTTAGATATCTAGTTCCGAAGATTGTATAAAAACTGAATAATTCATTTGAGTTCGAAAGTCGACATTGGTAAAATTAAACTAGCATATTCTTTTTTCAAGAAGAAGTAGAGCACTAAAAGCACGAGAAATGAGATCTTAAGTGCGTGAATTTAACTATCTGAATTGGAGGTGGCACGAATAATATGTAAATGAATTTAAGCACTTAACACAATAAATTAATATAGACTTTTATAAACTCAGAAAATAAAGACAAGTGATTTAAAAAAGAAAAAATCAAAACAGTTACGTTTTCAATTTGGTCGACTTGGATTGTCTTCTTCCAAGTTATTATTACGCTACTGTCACTTCAGATCGCTTTCAGTTTGTTAAATGATATAAGGGTAGTACTGTAATTTCACCTCTTAAAGTTAGTTATTGGCGTTCATCAGTTAGTTAAGTTGTTAGATTAGTAGTTAAGAGATTAGTTAATCATTTGTATATATAAACGAGTGTATACACACAAAACTCAGTTTTTTGAGTAATGAAAGTACTCTTTCTTCCTCTCTATCATCTCTCTCTGTATCTCTCTACTCTATCTCTTTCTTCCTCTCAATTTACAACATGGTATCAGAGCTTATGCTCGTAAGTTTGAAGCTCGTGATCTGAAATTCTTCTTCGGCATTCTTTCTCTAAAATTCTTGTTCTGTATGTTACAATCGAGTGAAAATTCTTGTTCTGAAAATTCTGCATGTACAAATTGGGTGTTGAATTCTTGATAAAGAATCAAAGAAATCGAAAATGGCGATAAACGAAGGAATACCATATCTAAATTCTGGGCTAAATACTGGAAATCAAGTGAATCCAGCAACTGGGGTCAGTTACAATCATCCCTTTTTCTTTCCCCTGCTGATGTTAGTGGAATTCAAATCATTTCATTTCAATTAACAGGTACTGAAAACTATTCTATTTGAAATAGATCTATGAGAGTTGCTTTATTAGGTAGGAATAAACTTGGCATGGTTGATGGTACATGCAGTAAGGATAAGTTCCCAGATTCGATGGAAAATCATTGGGAACGAGTAAATGGCATTGTTCTAGCTTGGTTGATGAATTCTGTGGCAAAAGGTCTTCTTGGAGGTATTATGTATGCCTCCAGTGCTCAAACTGTTTGGGAAGACTTAGCTGAAAGATTCAATAAAGTTGATGGTTCAAGAACTTTCAATTTACATAAAGAAATAGCCAGCTTAACTCAAGGGTCTGCATCTGTCTCGGTATATTTCTCAAAACTTAAAGATCTTTGGGAAGAATTTGAGGCTTTGGTTCCTGCACCTGGGTATGACTGTCCTAAATCAAGGGATTTTGTTAACTATCTACAGAAGTTAAGGCTATATCAGTTCCTACTGGGGCTAAATGAGTCCTATTCACAAGCTCAGAGTCAAATACTTATGAAGACTCCTTTACCTACTATGAATCAAGCCTATGCCTTAATAGTTGATGAGAGTCAAAAATCTGTAGCAGCTAATTCTGGGATTCTTGGAGCCAATCTTGTAAGAAATTTTGAAGTTGCAATGTATACTAGACATGGTGCAGGTGGTCAAGGCCAAAGGTTCAAGAAAAACTTCAATGTTCAATGTGATTATTGCAAGATGAAAGGCAATATGAAAGAAAACTGTTATAAACTTGTTGGATATCCTCCAGAGCCCAGACAAAAGAAGAGAGGAGGATATAATGCAACTCATAATGTCAACATTCTGAATGAGAATGTTGATAATCAAAATCAGAATTCTGATGTACCTACTGGTGCATATGGCAAAAATGCTAATGTATAAATCAGTCTACCTGTGGAAGTCAGATGTCTTATGGTCAAGGACTGGAAGCAGTTGCAAATCAGCTGGGAAATTACACATTCACAAAAGATCAATATGATCAGATTGTGCATCTGTTGAATAAAGGAGTAATCTCAACAGGCACTAACAATGAAGATTCAACAGGTACAGATACTGATACAACATTGTTGGTTTCAAACGGCTCTCAAGAATGGATCATAGACACTGGTGCAACAAATCACATGGTGTCTGATACTTATCTTCTAAATAAGTCAACTATAGTTCAGACAGCCAACCCTAAGACAGTTTTGTTGCCTAATGGAGATGTGTTACTGGTTACACATACAGTGGCAAGTTCAATTTCTGATAAGAGCACTATATCTAATATCTTTCATGTGCCTCAATTTAAATATAATCTTCTTTCAGTTTCAAAAAAGACAAAAGAACTACAGTGTGCTGCAATATTTTTTTTTTCTGATTTTTGTGTTTTTCAGGATCTCTTCACTAGAAAGGTGAGGGGGATTGGTAAAGAAGTAAGAGGAGTATACATACTACTAGCTAGACTGGCAAGGAATAGGCAAAGGGCTGAGTATGCTGCAAAGGGATTAACAGCTGGTGAAGCAGATCAGATCAATGTGGAGTTATGGCATCAAAGATTTGGACATGTGTCTGTTATAGTAATGAAGAAAATGCTGCCTATTAGTGTACAAAATATCAGAGATAAAATAGATAAATGCATAATCTGTCCCTGTGCTAAGCAAACTAGATTGCAATTTCCCTCTAGTGATATCAGAAGCATGTACTGTTTTGATTTGATTCATGTAGACCTATGGGGTCCATACATAATAACTACATTTGATGGTAATAAGTACTTTCTTACAGTTGTAGATGACTACAGTAGAATGACATAGGTGTTTCTTCTTAAACAAAAATCAGATGTATATCAATGCCTACAACATTTCTTCAGTTTTGTCAAGACTCAATTTAATAAGGTCATCAAGGTTATTAGAATAGATAATGGCACAGAGTTTGTAAATTCCTTGTGTGAGCAATTATTCAAAAATCTTAGGATGGTTTATCAAAGAACTTGTGCTTACACTCCTCAACAGAATGGAGTAGCAGAAAGAAAGCACAGACACATTCTAGAAATAACAAGAGCTATAAGACTGCAAGCCAATATTCCCATAAGGTTCTGGGGTCACTGCATTCTGGCTGCAGTATACATTCTTAACAGGTTACCTAGATCAGTAATTAAAAACATATCTCCTTATGAAAGGCTGCATAACAGGAAACCTTCTCTAAATCACTTAAGAGTGACAGGCTGTCTATGTTTTGCTAAAGCAGTTCAGGAACAGGACAAGCTAATGTCTAGATCAAGGGTATATGTATATATGGGATATTCAGAAGTTCATAAAGGCTATGTTCTATATGATCTACAAAATAGATCATTCTTCATCAACATAGATGTAATATTCAAGGAAAATGTCTGTCCATTTAAAAGAACAAATTCTTCTTCAATACCTATATTTATAGACACTACAACAAATGTAGGGTCATACATAGACAATTCAGAAATCTTTTTTTGAACAAAGGGTTGATACACAAGCTGATGCAGGTCACAATGGTGATAATTCAGGGAATTCATCTACAACTAATGACATTACAGAAGAGAACTACAATTCTTAGTCAATACATGACTTCCAAAATCACAATACAACTGAGGGGGAGGCACAGACATATCAGAACAACCATAGCACAACCGAGGGGGAGTTACAAGCACAACAGGACTATAGGCTGCAAATGGGTATATAAAATCAAATACAAGGCATCCGGAGAGATAGAGAGATTTAAGCTAGATTGGTTGCAAAAGGTTATATCTAACAAGAAGGAATTGACTACCAAGAAACACTCTCACCAGTTGTAAAAATGGTGACTGTTAGAATAATATTAGCTCTGGCAGCAGCTAAGCAATGGCATATACATCAAATGAATGTATACAATGCCTTCTTACAAGGTGGTCTATTTGATGAAATCTACATGGATTTACCACAAGGATTTAGGAGCCAGGGGGAGAAGAGAGTATGCAGACTCACTAAATCCTTATATAGATTAAAACAAGCTCCTAGGTAATGGAACTTGAAACTATCTGAAGCTCTTTTGAACAACTTACAGTTTAAACAAAGTCAGTTTGATCATTCCTTATACATAAGGAAAACAGAAGAAGGTATGGTGTTAGTACTGATCTATGTTGATGATATGCTAGTTACTGGAAGCAGTTTAAAGCTGATTTAGGACACAAAACCTCTCTACAGAACATCTTCAAAATGAAAGACTTGGGAGAGTTAAGGTAGTTTCTGGGATTAGAATTTGCTAGGTCCAACAAAGGTATTGTTATGCATCGGAGGAAATACACATTAGGACTCATAGCAGAAGTTGGATTAACTGCAGCAAAACCCTCAACTACACCAATTGATATCAATACTAAACTTACAACAAAACAGTATGATGAGCACATCTCAAAGGATGAAAGATCAGTTGAAGATCCTGCTGTAGATCAGACAGCCTATCAAAGGTTAATAGGTAAACTTTTGTACCTAACTGTCACTAGACCATATATAACTTATGGAGTTCAAACTCTAAGTCAATTTCTTCAACAACCAAAGAAATCTCATATGGAAGCTGCCTTAAGAATTGTGAAGCATGTGAAAAACAATCCTGGACAAGGTATACTGTTATCAAGTCAATATAATACAACCATCACAACATACTGTGATGCAGATTGGGCAGCTTGTGCTCTGATGCGGCTGCTCAAACTATGTGTTCCATGCATTCCGAAGTGACTGAGGTACAAACTCTCTCAAAACATCTCTGAATATTGAACCCATGTAAGTGAAGCTGCATCGGCCGGCTACCCAAATCATATGCCCGCCACCACTGGTAAGCCGCTCTCTTAAGTTGGAACGTAGTAATAGCAACCCCAGTCGTCTCAACAATACCCATAGTACGGAGGATGCGACAGCACTGCTTAATAAACTCCTGCGCTCTCTGAAGCCCAACCACTGAATGTAGGAGGATCATAGTCCTTGAACCTTGCAAATTTAAATTGCCCTTCCTCAAATACTGCTGCCCTGACTATGAGCTGAACTGGGACAACAAGTTGTGTCGCCCTGACACCTGGAACCTGACCAACGTGAACTCGCTGCTCTGGAATATGGTTTAGCTGTGACACGTACTCCTCGTCGGCCTCTGCCTCTAGCGATATTTGCTCCAGGAGCAGCGTCATCGATAACAGCAGCTCGTGTCCTCACCGTCAGTAAGAGAATGGAAGGATAAAAGTTCAAACTCCGAGATCAATAAGCTCGCACGATAGAAATGAAGGAAGTGAGATTGTCCTAATAGTTCCGTAGCCTCTCGAAGATAAGTACAGGCGTCTCTGTACCGATCCGTAAGACTCTACTAAACTCGCTTATGACTCGTAGCACCTATGAACCTAGAGCTCTGATACCAACTTGTCACGACCACACTTTTCCTCCGTTTAGGTATCGTGATGGCACCTAGGCTTAGGGACTAGGTAAGCCTAACTCATACCGAAATACCACAATAATAAATGAAATTTAACAGTCTTGAAGCAGAAATCTCTACAAATTTAAAATTTCCAAAACCCGATAGTACAAGTCATAAGCTCTACAGGGTTTCGCTACAACTTCTAAACACAACCGTATGAAAATAAGTACAACAGTGTGAATATAAAATAGGAAGGTGACTCCGAAGCCTGCGAACGTAGTAGCAGGGCTACCTTGAGCCTCCTCGGCAAGAATCTGCATAGCTACTATCGAACAATACCTGGTTCTGCACAAAAAAAAGTGCAGAAGTGTAGTATGAGCACACCACAGCGGTGCCCAGTAAGTATTAAGACTAACCTCGGTGGAGTAGTGACGAGGAACAGTCAATACACTCACTGGTCTAATAAGCAGAACAAGTATAGGTATAGAAACAACCGAACATGATATCTATATAAAGACTAAGCGATACTGCTAACAATAGAGTAACTACAATAAGGAAAGAAAACAGCAAGTAATAGCGAAACACCATAATAAAGCACATAAAAGTGAACGGAAATACAACCCAAATTCGAAATCACAATTACAGTAAGGACAAGTCATAACTCAGCAACTACGGTAGTTTTTCACATTAGGTCATAGCCAACAACTTCAATCAGTTAGTCAAATCTTTCAGTTGATAAAAACATTTCGAAATATACTTCCTTCAAGCAAATATTTTTCCAAAGTAGTTCTCTAAAAATGAATACCTTTCGAATATAACCCTTAAATAAATATCCTTCGAATATAAGTCACCCTGTGACACCTCATCTCATAATCATACAATACGGGTCTCAATACCTGAACCCTAACACTTGGCATCCTGTGCCCTCATCACACCTCATAATCATACTGACAACTCACGTACCCAAAAGAGTTATTCTCACATGGAAGGCAAATAAACAAGGGTGTGCGTCTATACTCAGCAATCTCAAGGAGCCTCCTATCCGATAAGGGTGCTTAGCCACGTGTATGCTTGTGCAAGTGTCCTAACATAGTTCATACCAGCTAGTAAGCATAAGGACAAGAACAAACAGCACATATACTGTTTACACTGGGATAAGATCAATAAAAATAACAGCTCAGAACACAGTGATAATAACAGGGGATCTCCCAGGATACCGTCCCGTAATCCCAAAGGTAAACGTACAGAGGATCTCCCGGGATACCGTCCCGTAGTCCAAATCATAAATGTGCAGGGGGATCTCCCGGAATACCGTTCCGTAGTCCCAAAGTAAATATCCAGTACAGGGGGATCTCCCGGGATACCGTCCCGTAGTCCCAAACATAAATGTGCAGGGGGATCTCCCGGAATACCGTTCCGTAGTCCCAAAGTAAATACACAGAACAGGGGATCTCCCAGGATACCGTCCCATAGTCCTAAACGTAAATGTGCAGGGGGATCTTCCGGAATACCGTTCCGTAGTCCCAAAGTAAATATGCAGCGCAACCAAAGAGAATACAATTATAGCACGACAGAAAACTCGTACATCACCACAACAAGTACAACACCAACAATGACAATAATACAAGGTACGACAAGTAAGTCAACTCAAGAACTGTAAATCACAAAGAATCGGTAGGACCAGCTCACAAGGAATAACCACAGAAGAGAATGCTGGCATAAAGGGAACATTTCAACAAAGGGAAAACTAACATGTAGCAATGATAAGTAGGGATTCTAGCCTATTTTATGCTCCCTTTTGCATAGGTTTTAGATTAAGAATCTGTAAAAGTATTCACGAAAACTGACTTATTGTGCTTGGCTGCAAGGTTTGGCCAAAATGAAGCAAGAAAGTCATAACCAGCTCATAAAGGAGTTAAACCTGCACAAGTTCAAAGCTAAGCTAAAAGCGCTGACAGCGATGAAATAGTGCGGCCGCGGAAGGTCCACAGCTGAGGCGACCATAATTACGCTCTCAGCGGCATTGAGGTTCAGAGAAGGCAAGTTTGGGCACAACAAACATCGCTGCCCGTGGTGAAATAGCGCAGTAGCAAAATACTTGCCACGGCCGCGGTCCAAATAGCGCAGAGGGCGAAAATGTGAATCAGAGGACTGGAAATTTGAGCTCAAATGAAGAGCGCGCTCCGCGAAGATATTACGCAGCCGCGGTTGAAGACAACGCTGAGGCGGTTGCTTTTACGCTCCCAGCGAAATCAAGTCCAAACCCAATCCAAGAGAGAAGAACTGCGGTCCGCGCTTGCTTTTGTGCGGCCGCGAAAGTTCAAGCGCTGAGGCGCCCATTATTACGCTGTCAGCGGAACCTCCGTAGGGGTATTTTTGTCCGGAAATTTCAGCTGTGTATAAATAGTTCTTTTTAACATTTTTAGGTCAGCTTTTGTTTTGAGAAACACGTGAACCGCCATACTTAGCTATTTTGAGTAATTTTAGAGCATCTTTAACCATTAATCTTAGATTTTACTCTTGTAATTACTTTTTATGGGTTATATTTCATCTCCATCTTTGATTTCTACCTTGATTATGAGTAGCTAAACCCATTAGCTAGGGTTGTGACCCAACCCTAGTGTGGGTATTTAATGGGTCTTCAATTTTAGGGCTTAATTATTTATGGGTTAATGATATTTAGCTTGATTCATGCTTTAACTGTTGAATTGGTGGTTGCAAACACTGATTCGTGCCTATATGACTTAGACTCTTCTTGAGAAAGAGAGTCTAAGTCTAGGAAATTCAGGCTAATAAGGAATTGGGGTGTATTCAAGAGATTGATAGCCCCAATTAAAGGGTTAAACCTAGAGACAGTAATACCCGACTTGAGCCAATTTTGCTTGCATTGTTTGGACACCCAATTAGGCTTGAGAAAGCCAATTTGGGCAAAGTCACTCGAACTACCGAGAGGTATAGAGTGAGTAATTATGTGCAATAGTTATATCATGATCCCAATTACAACAAGTTTGTCCTAAGTTTTAGACCCCGTTAGATACTCACCGAGGTGTAAGTCACTTCCCTAGTGCTTTTTATCAATTGAGAAAACCCTTACAAAAATATTATACTTAGATTACTTTCAACATCATTAGCATAAAAGTAGAATAGAAACAAAACAAAGCATGGTTAGAAGTGCAATTAAGAACAACACGCATAGCTAGATTGGATAGAAACCTAGTTCCCAACCAACATTAGCTCCTTGTGGATATCGATCCCGACCTTTCGAGTAAAAGCTGCATCGACCACTCTTTGCCATTTTATAGTGGTATAGGGTTGGAATCGATCGCTTTTTGGCGCCGAGCTAAACGGTTTTGGCTATCTATCTGACTAGTTTTTTGTCTTGTTTTTCTTTCCTTCTGTTTTACTAACTTGTGTGAGTTAATCGATTCAGGTACAACATGTCAAACGATGATCCTATTGGAAATGTTCCGGGGGAGGAGGTAGATGATAATGCTGAAGATGAGGTCCCTCTAGTACCTCAAGCTCAAAGAAGGGGCCGCCAGGCCAATGACAACATTCCTGACCCTCCCCCAGTTCCTCCGCGAGTGGCTCCTCGGGTGCTTCCAAATGAAGGCTACGCAAGTGCAATTGTCCCACCCCCGATCCGCGCGGGCAATTTCCAGATTACAAATGTTATGTTGACTTTATTGGAGCAACGAGGGTACTTCACAGGCGCTCCCCGTCAGAATGAATATAAACCTCTCAAGGGCTTTGTGGATACCTGCTGGGGAAGCAAACAGACTAATGTGTCGGAGGATGTATTGAGATTGAGATTGTTCCCTTTTTCACTTAGAGGGAAAGCTTTGGACTGGCTCAAAAGGCTCCCCAACCATTCCATCACTACGTGGGATGAGTTGGCCGACAAGTTTATAGTTAAGTTTTTCTCCTCGGGGCATATGGCAACATTGAGAGATGAGATCCTGGCCTTCAAACACGAACCTAATGAACCACTTCATGAGATCTGGGAAAGGTATCGAACGATGGTGAAAGAATGTCCGAATAATGACATGACCGAAGCAGTGATCCAGCAAACATTCTACCGTGGCATCAACACCACCAATCAGTGTGTAGTGAACCGGCTAGCATGGGGAAACTTTATGAACACACCTTATGTTGAGGTGTGTGAGATATTGGATGAGATGGCAGATACTTCCTCGGCGTGGCAAAGCCGAGATAATGTGCCACAAGGTGATCCCACGTCATTCACCTGCACAAAGAGCTCCATGACCACGGCCAAGCAATAGCAGAGTTGACTACAACAATGAACCAGTTGGCAAAAGCTCAATTGTAGCAAGTT